GGCTGCTGATTTGGCCCTGCTGGTGCAGGGCTCCCTTGGGAGCCATTCATCAGCTTTCATACCCACCCTTGTTACCCTCTCTGGTACCCTGAAGTCCTCAGGCTGTGGTCTTGGCGGGGTGGATGGGGCTGTTTCCCAGACCCGAGGGTCCTGGCCCCATGATGCCCCCAGCCCAAGCAGTGGGTGAGGGGTTGCCACCCCCAGCTACCCCACACTGCCGGCACACGGGCCAGCCCTGCCCAGGCTGCGGGGCCGTGGCAGCAGAGGGATGATGCACGGGGACTGGCAGGGCGCTGTGGGTGACACTGGGGCAGGGAGGCATACGGAAGAAAGATTCCCCTCCGTGTCTCCCAGGGGCAGGGGTGACACGTGCACAGAGCCAGGGTAAAGGCTGGGATGCCCCACTGCAGCATGTGGGGAGTCCGTTGCCTGCTTTGGGCAGCACATGCTGTGGGGCTGGCTCGGAGGTGTCAGCACAGCAGGGCTGCATCGGGAAGCATTCCAGCATGAGGGGATGTAGCTCAGTGGGAGAGCGCTTGCTTCGCATGTAAGAGGCCCTGGGTTCAAGCCCCAGCATCTCCACACACTTTTCTATGCAAGGCTGCCTGCTGGYAGCAGCTGGGCTGCAGACCGTGCTCCCAGCAGAGTGTTTTGTCCCGAGGACAATATGAACAATGACTTCACAGATACCCTCCTCTTCAGGAGGAAAAAGCTATGGAGATGCTGGGGCTTGAACCCAGGACCTCTTACATGCAAAGCAAGCGCTCTCCCACTGAGCTACATCCCCCTGCTTTGGAAACCACCTGCATCCACTGGGCACCGCTGCCCACCTCACACCTCATGCTGCCCGGACACCCTGTGGGTGCTTATGGACTCCCGGCCCATTGCTGGTGTCTCACGGGCTCTGGGCAGCACCAGGYACCTCCTCATGCAGTGCTGGCTGCTGCCTGTGCCCATCACTGAGCCCCTGTGCCCCATCCCATTGACAGCCAGAACCCACRGGTCCTTTGCAGCCCTGGGCTGGCACTTGGGGCACCGTGATGCCCCATACACACCCTGCCATAGCTAGGCAGAACCTGTGCCCCAAAAGAGGGGCTCGTCCGGGAGTTGAACCCGGGACCTCTCGCACCCGAAGCGAGAATCATACCCCTAGACCAACGAGCCGGGGTGGCWCAGCTGGGTGCCCCAAGACCTCTGCAAGGTGCCGTGGCACAGCTGGCAGCAGAGGCTGCTCCTGGGGCTCCACAACCACTAGTGGGCCATAATAGCCCTGACCAGCCTCACCTGTGGCCCTCATTGACCTCCCAGCCCTGSTGCAGGTCTGTGTGGGCTTGGGGTTGTTGGGGCTTGGGAGCTGTGTGGACCAGGCAGAAGGAGATGCCAGGATCACATCATGGGCATCACTGCAGGTGGCATCCACCAGCTGGCATCAGCCTATGGAGAAATGCCTCTCCTTGCACTCTCAGCTCAGGGAAGGAGCCCTGGTGCTGGCATCCCACAGCTGTCTGTAAAACGCACAGCCTCACCTGCACCCAATCCTTGTTTTTGTGCCTCTCCGAGAGAGGCCAGAGCAGCTCATGCCACCAGCACTGCCTGCCTGGGCAGTCACCCGGTGCTGGAGCAGTGTTGGAATGTGCAGCCCAGAGAGTGTCACTGGTGCAGCTGGCGCATGGAGCCCCTCTTCCTCCATCCAGGATGGAGTGTCAAACCTGGACATTGCTGCAGGCTGTAAGTCAGGGTGACGGGGCTGTGTGCGGTGGGCAGTGGTGCCCAGGGGGTTTTTGGGCACGGGGATGTAGCTCAGTGGGAGAGCGCTTGCTTTGCATGTAAGAGGCCCTGGGTTCAAGCCCCAGCATCTCCACATACTTTTCCTCCCAAAAGTAGCAACTGCCCTGATGGGAAGGGAACATCCTGAGCTCTGCCAAGAAAAGCCCTACGGCTTCCTCTGTGCTGCCTGGGCCAGGGGTTTCTTCCTGGATGGGTACAAGAAATCCCCATGGTTGGAGAATCCCCATGGGGTTGGAGAATCCCCATGGCTCTTTTGCTTTCCCCTGTGCCAGGAGCTGCAGGCAGTGGGGTGAGTCCGTGGGGTGCATGGTGTGCCCCCTCCCCACATGGCACATCACTCCTGGCTCGCTGTGCTCTCCCGGGATGCACCAGCCTGCCCAACTTGCACCATCCCCTGGCGCTGTGCGGTGTCCTGGCTCCAGCAGAGCCCACGTGGCATTGTGGGGCCACTCTGGGGCTGGTGTTGGCCAAAAGCAGGGCTCGTCCGGGAGTTGAACCCGGGACCTCTCGCACCCAAAGCGAGAATCATACCCCTAGACCAACGAGCCRCAGTGGYACTGTGRCTGATGTCCCCAGCCCAGCTTGGGCACCTTGTGCTCCCCTGCACCTCCGTGCTGGCCTGGTGGGTCCTGCTGCCCAGCAGAGCAAAGTCCTCAGTGTTTCTGAATGGCCCTTGTCCCTCAGACTCGTGTAGGATGGGTTCCATCTCCTTCTGCTAGCCAGAAATCAAATCCTCCATCTCTTCTAAGAGAGGAGGGACAGGACAACCCGCAGGTGCCTCCTAGGGTGGCAGGGGAAATGGGGCCGCGTGCTGCACAGCAAGTGAATGCACAGAGACCTTGGCCACCCCGGCTCGTTGGTCTAGGGGTATGATTCTCGCTTAGGGTGCGAGAGGTCCCGGGTTCAACTCCCGGACGAGCCCTTCTTTTGGGCATCCTGCCTGCTGATGTGGCCCAGGGCGTGCAGAACTCTCCAGGGGCTCAGCCATCCAGAGCCAGCAGGTCCCCGGGGTAGGAAAAAGGAAAATCATGAGGTTTTATGGGAACCAGGGAGGAATCTTAGGCTGAAGAGAGAAGGCAACTCCAAACAGCGGARGAAGATCTCCCCAGAAGCCGTGTTGAGCGGTGGAAGAAGCGATTTCTTTGCAGGGTGCAGCCATTCCCAGCACCACAGCACAGCTCTGTGCAGAAAAGTGTGTGGAGATGCTGGGGCTTGAACCCAGGGCCTCTTACATGCAAAGCAAGCGCTCTCCCACTGAGCTACATCCCCCTGCCCCGGGGCTGC